GTCAGTGGCGTTCGTGCTGTCAGTTTCTTTCCAGATTGTCTGATTGAGCGGTTGGAGGTGTAGGCACCTCAGTATGCTTGACATAGGCTAGCACTAGGCCCCCTCCCTCACCCACTCTTTTTCCCTTTTTTCACTGTAGGGCTTTTAATATAATTATATATATATGACTATACGAACCTTATGGTTGTACGGCAGTGAAGCACCAGTGCCAACACTGATGTTGCTGTCTTTGATGATGATGATGATGATGATGACCAACAGAGCGGGAGGAAGTTCGTCAGGATCCTAGAGGGACAAAAAGTACTCAGTCATTTCCGGTTAACGGCTATTTGAACACTCCATGAATTCAGTTTCCTGTGTTACCATACAGGGTCTGTAGCCGAGGTTTCCTCTCAGAAAACAGAGTGTACTGGAAGGTGTGAACCCTACCGTAGTATGACGGTCTGTGTGCTCTTATGAAACACTCGACCATACTGAGTGGTGTCCGTGCGACACTCAGTCTCTCATTAGAGGTCGCTAGTTGTTAGAGGTCTGACTAACACAGCCTCCTGGCCCTCCAGGTTGAGAGTTTGAGCATATGTGGCGACTTATTCTAAAAAAATGGTAATGTGTTTGCACTTCCCACCAAAAACCGCTCCCCTGCTATTAGGCTTTTGAGCCAAAGGCTTTAGTCAAGGAGTCCCCTTGCCTAGGTCTGGGCGCCCTGTCAGTCTCCAAGCCCACATGCAACCATGATACAACCAGCCACTTGCTGCATACAGCAGGGCGGGCAGGCGAAAATGTGCTACTTCTGGTGCTTTCAAGTTTTCCCTATTCTACCCGAACCCACCATGTTTGGATACTTTCCCTGCAGGTTCCGGCACTAGGACTGACCGCTTTGTTCATCAGGAATCACACCCAGCCGCGGTTCCTGTAGGTTTGACTTCAGTGAAAACCCTAAATACTCTGAAATCTGTTTTCGGTGTATGCTGCATGTGAGAAACAAGGATACAAGGCGCAGGCACTATGATCGAACTGACTGACCCCTCACTGTCATTCAGGTTCCACCTGCGCACTTCTGATGATTCGGAAGCCGCTGCAGCTGGATATACCGGGATGAGTATTGTGTTAGCGATCGAGCGGAAGCGTCTCCAATTGATTGGATAACCGCTGGTAGTCCCCTCTAACCAGTTCGTTTGACAACGTCTGTGAAAGGATCTCAACAAAGTGAGGTGTATGCTTACGCCCCCAGAGGACTGTAGCTCCGAATCGTCGCTGGTGACATGAATGATCAAGGAGGTAGACCAAGAGCATCAGACGCCCAACTGGGTAGTAGCTGTGGATTGGACATGAGACGAATGGACAAGGGGGATCGCTTGGTTCAGATGTGTGCCGAACACAGACTGTTCCGCCGCAGCACGAATTTCCGGAACAGCGAAAATCGCTTGACAACGTAGTGCTCAATAACAAACCAGCCCCGAATCCAAATAGACCACATCACCGTCAGCTATCGGTGGCGATGGTCGATCATAGCCTGCTGCTCCTTCTGGAACACCACCGTGGACCTCGACTATGCTAGTAAATCCATAATTCAAATGGAACTATCAGAACCATCACCCATAACGCCTGTCGAACCGCACGATGTCGGATATAAATGACCACTGGGAAAAATATCCAAAGCGCTACTCAAAGCTAAAAGGTCTGTTTGCGGTATAACCCAGCCAACCTCATGCAAACATTGGATCTCTAATAGAACTGTGACTGATGACCCAACGATTTGATGCCGAGAAGAAGCTTTTAAATGGCCGATCTCCAATATCTTCCAAGTATGTATCAGGTCAAATCTAAGTCATCTGCACGCCAGTATAAAAACATTGCGGTTCTCAAGAGGAAATAAAGGTATACTTCAGGAGCTTGAGAACACCTTATTTCCTGACGTAGAACCCTCCTGACAGTATAAATTTTTGCAACCCCTAGAGGGTTGTCCACATGCCGTTGTCCTGCCGTCACGGAGGACATTCAGAAATTCCATTGGATTAACTCAACTCATTCGCCTTGATTACCGTATATTTTCTGTGAACCAGTCGATGAAATGTAGGTGGGGTTGCTCTATATATAAATGTGATCCTGTACACCCCGATCCCTTTTTTCGACATCATTGCTGCACCTCTTTGTGATGCATTGTGGACTCAAATTCCGCAGTGCGGGTCCGAATCTCCTCTCTGCATCCTTTATCCCTGTTTCTCAACTACGCCAGAAGGCGAACTGTCCCTCACACGAACCCTTGAGCAACTCTTTTTAGCGACCACTTTACGCAACTTTTGCTGCTTGGTTGCTTCAGAGCTCCCAAGGCCTGTCGGCCTCACTAGATGCCACGCAAAGTGATGGAACGCATCGTGAAGCGGGCCATTTTAAATCACCTCATCAGCAAAAACCGACATCCCCGGCGCAACACAGAGTTCTCCCAAACCGCACCTGCGCAACGAACACTCGTACTCATGGACATCCTAACCGAAGCCAAAGGTGAAAGATCCATACCCAATGCCATAATTTTTCAACTTCTTCAAGGCATTAAATGGAGTTTCAGGCATCCCAATGCTCCACAAACTCGAGTCCTATGGGATTCAAGGAGAAATTCTACACTAGATCAAGGTCCTCCCTTAAGGCGGAACATTCCGAATGAAAGTCCGGTCCACCTACTGTTCTTCATTGGAGATCCAGAGACTGTCTTAGGACCATTCCTCTTTCTGATCTAGGCCAAGGACCTTCAGATACACTTTCAAGTTTTCACTCCGGAAAACCTGAAATCTTGGAGTCCAAACGCTAACGCCCTCTGAACGGATGTCGGTGTCGCAAAATAGTGGTGACTGGACTGGCATCTGCCTCTGAATGATGGAAAGTGCAACCATATGTCATTCAGAGACTCAGCGAACGCCTTTGCCGTGCGTTATGATAATGGAACAGAAGGTTGCAGAAACACTAAAAAAGATTTAGGTGCCTGATTCTCTTCAAACATGACCTTATCACTCCACCCCAAGAAATCTGCCGTTCATCGGATCCTTCCACGTATTACTCGCAAGGACTTCCAGATCTCAATGGGGCCCACATAAAACTGCTTCTCGAATACGTCATCCAAGTTGTCTACTCAGGAGACAAGGACGTAACCGCCATTGAGCTCGGCCAACGAGCCCCTGCGGAAACCGTTGTGGGTCTGAAATCCATCGAATATGAAACACGTCTTGAGGTGCTTTAAACTATTTCCCATAGATTGCCATCGCCTTTCAGGGGACTTGATACTCAAGCCTTGTCTGAACAAAATTTAGCCGGCAGATTTTATACCGCTGGCCCTATTAATACATGGTGACGATAAGCTATGATTTTGATGACTAGAGACGAGTCTTTTTTAATTTCGGGTAGTTAGTGCGTGGAATGACTTCACTTCGATGGTTGTCCATGCGTCGGTCTCCACTGGAGCCCCGCAAGGCTCCATTTTGGGACTACTGCTCTTTCTGATATACGTTACGGCAGTGAATCATCGGTGTTGAACACTGATGTCATGCTGTCGATGACTGATATATGTCAAATACCTTTCAAATATTTTTTGCAAGTTCATATCTACCTTTCGCGGCTTGATATCATGGAGTTATAATGCCAGTACCCTCCAACTGGATGTAGACGCTGCAAAGCAGTGGTCGTTGGAGTGGCACCTCCCTCTGGATGACGAAAAGTGCGCCCATGTCATTCAGAGGAGACTCAGTGAACACCTTTGTCGCGCATGGTAAGAATGAACAAGAAGACACAAGGGTTGGTCCCAAAAAGGATTTGGGTATCTAGTTTTCTCCAGACATGTCCCTCTCACTGCACCATAAATCGGCTCAAAAAGCATTCGCCGTTCTACGGACGAGTCAGAGCACCTCCCATATTATTCGCACAGAGTTCCAGCAACCTATGGAGTCTACGTCAGATCGTCCCTTGAATACGCCTACCAAGTTGTCTAACCAGGATGCAAGAAGGATGTGACCCTTATTGAGTGTGTCCAACGAGGTGCTGCGAAAACTGTTGCCGGCCTTAAGGGCGTGGACTATGAAACGCGTCTAACGGTGATTGCCCGCTTTCCCTGGGGTAGCATCGCCTCCGAGAAGACCTAATACTTACTTATACCATGTTTACAACAATGTATCTAGCAGGTTTTTCACCGTTGACCCAGCTAACAAAGGGCGGGGACATAGTAAGATTATTAAGCTCGGAGTACATACTGTTACTTCGCAAAACATTTCCCGTTTCGGGTAGTTGCTTCGCGGAACAGCCTTCCTCCGAACGTTGTCTACGCTCATTCTCTTCCCCAGAACAAAGCATCATTTGACGCTTTTTTATGCGACTCATCGCGCCGGAAAGCTTACTGCCCCGCGCTGAGAAATTGGAGAGCAGTGATACACTCCCTTTCCGCTTATGCCTTTCAGGCAGTCAGTGAACGACAAGAATACTGTCCCCGGAAACTTGGGCGAAAGTCTCGATTATGTGTAGCAATCCGTGAATCCGTTTAGACCCCAGCCCAAAGTACTTACAGATGTTTTCTTATGTGAGTCATCGCTAGCCAAGATTACTGACCAGTAATAACTTGACCAGCAACATAAGCGCACCTCGGGAATAACTCAGACAGATGGTTATCAACATTATTCTATAAAAGTGAACAACGCAGAATCAAACACCTACTCGCATTATCCTCGTCAACGCGTGAGGACACGTCATTCTCAGCTCCAACGTTAGTCCTGTCAAAATCCATGGGTTTTATTTCATCACCATAGAGTTATAAGTGGTTGATGGGCTGAAATGCATGAATTCCAACTTAGATGTCCTGGAAGCCAGTCAACATCTGCGCGCCATTGGGCCTTAGGGCGCAAACAAGTTAGCGGAATCAGCAACCAACGCAAACGGAGGAGGGTGAGACGGGGTAACTTAGATCTCTATTGGCTGGACGGTACTGGGGACGGCATTAAATGGCAGGGCAGATCGGGGCAGCACAGTACAGAATAAGGCGTGAGAAAACAAGACACCGTTGGACTGGGCTGGGATCGTTTGAACTGGATTATCTGATAAAACTGGAAAGGACAGAAATAGAATGTAAATGAAATGACGAAGGGCGGAACTTGACGACAGTTTTATAATTATTCAGATTATTGCACTGGAGATGCCCATAAGGCAGTGTTGCTGTGGTCACATTCTACCATATTAGCGAATCAACACTTGTGGGGCTTTGCGATAACCGGATACATATCACTTTTATCACTGTGTAAAGCGCTTACATCGAACTACTCCTGAAGGGATGCGGCATTTGACATAGCGTTTGTAAGCAAACATTCAAATCTATCTGCGGCATAATTCCGCTATTCGGATGACGATGTCCCCTTATCCACCCGAGAGTTCCATTCTTAAAGTTTACTGCAAGTAAGATTTCGACTGCCGTGAAGCCACATCCAAACCGTTGTCCCTAACGGGGCAATTTTATGGAAAAATTATAACATTTGGTGGTATTCACTGCAACCAGTCGTGGACTCAATGAAATTTTCCAAACCTACGGCTCAACATGATCGGTTGTGGTCAATCACGTTTTAGTGATGTTGCTGAAGGCCCTATTTTGAAGTGGGAAAAACATTCAAGATCACCCACTACGGCTGATTAGCTTTTGATTCCGAGATAAAGCAAGAAACCGAATCGTGGCATGCTTAAATGACTACGTTGTTTTTTAAATAGGCAACAACTGAACCTCTATAACAGAATCTTTCGTGTAAATTCCATCCAGGTGGATGCTTGAATAGCGATTGGATCCGCTATATCCGTCAGGCGTAACTACTGGATGAGTCAGCTCCTCGAACGTCTCCAAAAAATTGTTTTCGACAAGCTCGCCTTGCGTGCGGCAAAATAGTCCAAAACAACGTGATGCATATGTCAAAATTTATGCCCGTATGCAACTATGTGCAAGATCTTCATTCTGAGTTATGTGTAATCGGTTCTGGGGGTCGCCTCCAAATTCAGGAAGCTTATAAATCCCCACTATTGTTTTCTGTTTGTTGGTGCCGGCGTTGGACTTATCCTGGCTTTCGTTTATTTGTTTTTATTATTTATTTATTTTATTTATTTATTTATTTTTATTATTTTATTTATTTTTA